TACAGCATATATTTAGTGATTTTAATGTTAACAGATCATTGATGCAATAACATTTGGACCCAATTTGCCTGACTTGACACATGGAATAAAACATGGGTGTAGGAAGCATCCTCAATGTGGGTGAGACAATTTAACATGGGGTGTGGGCAGGTGGTGGATCTCACCTCCTCTAGGGGGGACCGGGGGCAAGCGCCCCCGGGAAGATTTTTTTTTAAATGTTGAAGTTAAATTCATCAATCTGGTGCAAAATTAGGGACTAAATCTATGGCAGTCAGTAGGGGCTTGGACTGTGAGCCGTAGGGTCGCCGGTTCAAGTCCCCGGCCAGACCTACATTTGGAGTGTGGACTTCTACTTGGAGAGGTCCCAGTTCACCTCCTGCCCTGCCGTGGTGCCCTTGAGCAAGGCACCGGACACCCCCTTCCCCCCTCACTCCCATTGCTCCACGGGCGCTGTACAATAGCTGCCCACTGCTCCTAGTACTAGACTCCTGGTACTGGGATGGGTTAAAAGCAGAGAACACATTTCACTGTGTGTGCTGTGTGCTCTGCATGTGTGACCATTAACGAGGGTTTCATCCCTCCCAATTCTTCTTCTTCAACACCCATATAAAACAGAACTGTAAACAGATTAACTTTTTCTTTCAACATTTATTTGAACAGCAAGTGGAGGCAAAAGTGACTGCACCCAAAACAATAAACCTGCTAGCTAACTAGCCTAAACTCAGTAACAGAATGTGGGCAACGCGTTCTTCTCAAGCCCCTCAATCTGAACCCAGGGCTCGCTACAATACTGTATACTGTATACACAAACTATACAAAAACGCCTTTACGCCTTGGAGCTTGTTGATCCATCTGTAAGCAACTGCCAGCTAGGTCTCTCAGTCACTCACTCCTGATCGTACACTGCACAGTGACAGCTGCTACGGGCCTGATGTGTGAAATTGAAACTGATGGATAGAACAAAGGTAGCCTATCAAAACGGCCCAGTCCAGCCCAGTGGGGTGTGGCCCACTGGGAACACTTACAAATGTGGGCCGGTAGGATTCAGGCAAAACAAATAAATATTGTCAATTGTTCTGGGAATGTCATTTTCGAGCCTGATACCTGAAAAACAGGCTCGGGGCTCAACTGGTTAAATAACCCAAATGACCCCCAGTGTAAGGGATAACAGTGTTAGAAATATATTCTGATGAAGTGAACACTGACCTGAGGTCTGGGGGTCTCTTTGTTCTCCTCCATGCTGCTCTCAGTGCTCCTTCTCCTGCTGGGTCTCTGAAATAAGTATTAACACTACAGTCAACACAAAACCAATCTACAGCTAAGAAGTAGCTTAGCAGCAGAGGTGGGAAGTACATTTACTCAAGTACTGTACTTAAGTACAACTATAGAGGTACTTGTACTTTACATGAGTATTTACATTGTATGCTACTTCTACCCTACTACAGTTCAGAGGTAAATTGTGTACTTTTATGTATTTAATGTATTTAGTTACTTCACAGATCTGGATGAATGATGTGAAATATAATCAAGTGTTGAATCAGGCTTTAGTTCCACCTGGAGTAAATCCACCAGCTACCCTGCAGTATACAAAGTACTTCAGACTAGCTGCACCTTCACCAGCTTTGAGAACACTTTCATGATCAATCATTATAAAACATATCATATATATTATTCTGAAATGGACCAATCTGCACAACGACTACTTTTACTGTCGCTACTTTAACTATATTTTGATGCTACTTTTACTCACTTACAAGATCTGAGTACCCTAAGTACTCAGAGAGAAGGAAATGACATGTTTGTGATCTGCTGTAAAACATAACCAATATGCAGGAATGTGAGTCTGTTTTTAAGGCCTCCTTTCCTTTAGTACAGTCCGATAATATAAACAAACAGAATCAAATTGAAAACGCAGATTACAATTAATTATTAAAACATGAAACAGTTTCTAATGATGAATCAAAGAGCCTCTTTGTGTCGACAACTTTAATGAGAAACTAGAAAACAAGTTTTAAGTGTACAGCTCAGATTATTACAGCAGCAAGAATCACATTTACTGAGAACACATAAAACTTACGGCCGTCAAAATGAAGTCAAAGAATGAACATGAGATAATATTATATCAAAATTTCACAAGAGCAATGTTTGTTCAAACAAAACACAAATGTTCTTTATCACTTCTCAATAAGAGCAGAAAACAGACATTTAGAAATGTAAATGTACAGTAGTTGCTCAGAGACGACTCCTCTCAGACTTGATGTGAAACCTCCAGGAACAAAAGGATGGAGGAGTGAACACACTAGCCTTCATCCCTCCCCTACATCCTGCCCTTGATATCCCCTCCTCTCTAAAGAAGACCCCAGTCTAGTCTACTTCAAGTACTTTAGCTTCAAATGGGCCATTTAAATTCTGCATTCAGAAATGAGATTATTCAAGAATAAAAGTAACGATGCAGCACAAGATGTAAACATTTATTTAACGACCCTCCTTCACCGCAATTCAATGGAAGATGGACTTTCATATTTAAAACATTTAACTAAACACCTTTCTCCAGAAACATTGACTCTCAGTGAGTTTCAGTTCTAACCTGGATAACTGCGACTGAATCTCACATTACAAGTATCCTTAGTGTCTCTCTTCTGATACCCAACGTATCTTATGCCCCGGCTACACAAGGACGAAAACGGCCGTTTGCGTAGTGTCATATAGACCATTCGGCCACACGAGGACGACCGCATATGGCACTAAACGACTGAGGAAACGATAACGGATCCCAAGGTGGATAGAACGGCATACGCAACGCTCTGGGGGGTCAAACAGCTCCGTGTGTGCGCCCTATACGATCATTTTCTGATAATGATTGCGCTGTCCAAAGAGAGGGAGGAAAAAGAGAGACTCCGTGTATTTTATTATTATATTATATAGAGTCGTTATTCATTTGTTTTAAAGCTCAATAAATAACAAAGAAGACCTTTGACCGGCACTTTTATAATTTTGTCGGAAGGTTTCAACTTTAATTCACGTTGACTGGCGAAAAACTCTGCCCGGTTCCCTCGGCCCCCACCGCGGAGAATAAACAGAAGGGCAACCATGACAACCATGCTTCTTCGCTGCTTTTGTGGAGGAAGTTACAGCGCCACGTACAGGCTCCTACATGTACTGCAGCTTCTCCAGCGGTTGGAGCTAAACGGAGCGGTCTCGTGTGGGCAGACACTATCCGGATAACTATTGCGTGTGGACGGAAGCTTGTTTGCGATTGCGTTTGCGTTAATCCTATGCGTTTAGCCGTTTTTGTCCTCGTGTGGCCGGGGTCTTAGTGTTTTAAAGATCACTTGAAAAAGGTCAAAAAAGCGATCTCAAACATTTCAATTGAACATAATTATAATTATAACTATTTTTAACAGAATAAAAAATATTCAGTGAATGTTGAGCAACTAAACATAGCAAGAACCTTTCTGAACTCGATGCTCACTAAAATTGCAACTGCACACATAACAGATAATGGATTCAGAAGTATTATACATACAGAGTATATTAAGAACTGTATGTAAAAGATCCAGAGATGCTTCTATTTACAGATGTTCCCTTAACGTCTCATTCACAGGCTGCTGGTAGACAGATCATTGTTACTTTCAGCCTCGCAGAAACAGCACAAGGTTGCTTTATCCAAATCAAAACACATTTGATCAACCAGAGCACTCACATATAGAGCTAAGTGTGTGAGGACAGCAGGGTTTTGGGAGGTCTGAATGTAGTCCATAAAAAACCTGTTTTTAGAACGTAAAGTCACTGTTGGTCAGCTTTACATTTGGAGAAAAGCAGGAGGAATGCTAGACTCAGAAAAGGATCGGATGGAGGCAGAGTGAGTGCGCTGGTGGACTTTAAGATTACTACCACGAGAAAAGGTTTCCCCACACTCTTCACAGCTGTGTAGTTTCTCTCTTGTGTGAATGCGATAATGGCTCTGAACTCTTCTTCATTTAGTGAAATCTTTCCCACATTGGTCACCGCTGACAAGTTTGGGTTCCTTTCTTCTTCACTGTTTCTAAAAAAGACAGACGGATAAAGAGTCAGTGAGAGGCTGTGATGCAGATGTATCTAAAAATAAGAGTCTGTAAAATAAACCCCACAAAGTTCACACAGTAGGAACATATAATGCGGATGTATTTGTATTAACTATTTCTGAAAATGAGACTCACTTACTCTCTTTTTGGAGTTTTTCAAATCTCACAGCCTTCTTTACTCACACAGAGAATACAATAAATAAACTGGTTACATGATAAAACACTTTAAAATATCCCTCGGTTAAAACAGGTAAAACTTTTTGTTCCCCTTATTTTTTAAACATTAATGGCATTGAAAGTAAATTACAATTGAATGTACTGAATTAAGGATGGGTCATGACCGAAAGAACGAGATCGCGGATACAAGCGGCCGAGATGGGTTTTCTCCGCAGGGTGGCTGGTGTCTCCCTTAGGGATAAGGTGAGAAGTTCGGTCATCAGGGAGGGACTCGGAGTTGAGCCGCTCCTCCTTCGCGTCGAAAGGAGCCAGTTGAGGTGGTTCGGGCACCTAGTTAGGATGCCACCTGGGCGCCTCCCTAGGGAGGTGTTCCAGGCACGTCCAGCTGGGAAGAGACCAAGGGGTAGACCTAGAACCAGGTGGAGGGATTATATCTCTTTGCTGGCCTGGGAGCGCCTTGGGATCCCCCAGTCAGAGCTGGTTGATGTCGCCAGGGAAAAGAAAGTTTGGGGCTCTCTGCTGGAACTGCTACCCCCGCGACCCGACCACGGATAAGCGGGAGAAGATGGATGGATGGATGGATGGATGGATGGATGTACTGAATTAATAATAATAATAATAATAATAATAATACTTTTTTAGTCTCATTCTATTATTTGTTCTTAGTTAATCAAGGCCAAGCTTAAAAATATAATGCAAAGTGATTGGAAGTAATGATAAGGTATTAAATAATATTGTAATGATGAGTAAAAGAGTCTCTTTGTGTCGACAAATTTAATGGGAAAAATAGAAAACAAGTTTTCGATCAGATTTACTGACAAAATAGAGACAAAAGCATGCGTCACATTTTAGCCTAATTAACAAATAATAATCACTGTGCACAATCACAACAGCAGATTAAACATATCCAGTAAAATAAAATAAAAAGAGGCTCTATCAATCGGAAATGAACATTATTCTATAAAAAATACAGTCAGTGAGCAATGACGTTTGAGTCTACCTCACAGTGATTATAGGGAAGTACAAACATAACACTACAACAGGATATGCATCTCAACACGACGTGTTTTGACATTTTCAGGTGCGCACTTCTGCAAATGTGAGTATTATTAACAGAATTAACGTGTAGCATATATACAGATATGCTCACAAAACTAATATACCTGAGAAGCACTAAAGCAATCAATATTTTTCCATCACCATCAGAGCGTAAGCTATGCTCTGAGAAAAGGTTAACGGTGTGCAGCGTGTGTGCGTTGGTGGACTTTGAGATTACTACGCCGAGAAAAGTTTTTCCCACAATATTCACAGCTGTGTGGTTTCAGTCCCGTGTGAACCAGTAGGTGGACGGCAAGGTGATCCTGCCGGGAAAACGTTTTCTCACAGTGGTCACAGCTGTATGGTTTCTCTCCGGTGTGAATACGCCGGTGTGTTTTTAATTGAACCCTCTCTCTAAATGTGGAGCTGCACTGGTCACAGCTGTATGGTTTCTTTCCAGTGTGAATGCTCTTGTGGCTTCTCAAGCCGGAGGTCTGTGAAAAGACTGCTCCACATTCCTCACAGCTGTACGGTTTCTCTCCGGTGTGAATTCGCTGATGCATTTTGAGCTGAGAACTCTGATTGAAAGTCTTCCCACATTGGTCACACCAGAATACTTTCTCTTTAGTGTGAACAACCCGATGAAGTCTTAGATAAGTTGTACTTTTAAAAGTTTTCCCACACTCGTTGCAGATGTGCGGTCTCTCTTCTTGGTGAATTACTTTATGCTTTGAAAGCTCACTGTGAGTGCGGAAGGCTTTGTCACATGTGTCGCAGATTTGCGGTTTCTCTCCTGTATGAAGCAGTTTATGGCTCACCATGGTTCCTGGATGAGAGAACCTTTTCCCACATTGGTCACAGCCATAGGGTTTCTCTCCAGTGTGAACGCGTTGGTGGAGTTTTAGCCGATTCCGGTAGATGAAAGTCGCCCCGCATTGGTCACAGTGGTGAAGACGTTTTCCGGTGTGAATCCTCTGGTGCACCTTTAAATACACAACAGTTGTGAAGGATTTGTCACAGTGCTGACAGCTGTGGTTTTTGGGTCCATCTTTTCTCCTCGGTTTCTATTCAAGACAAACAGAAAGTTGATCAGACAAAAATAAAACATTTCTTGAAAACCTTGAATAATTTTTAGAGCTTCATTAATTTTTTTATACTGTTTTTCTTGATAATATAGAAAAATGAATCTTTGTTTTTGACATTTTTCTATTTTTCGGGACAAAATATACTTTTTCAAGTTACTGTGGTCCACACATTTGTTGTTGTTGTTTGAATTCCTTTAACTGCAGTTACCCTTGGCTTCTTCTTGAGATTGGACACAGTTATTTTCGGGTTGCTACCATCCTCCTTCCTCGCCTTTTCCTCCCTCCTCTGTTCCTCCGTCCTCACCTCCTTGCTCCTCAGATTTTCCACCAGGCAGAATAACGTCCTCTCACACATATTCTGCAGGTGAGTTATCTGCAGGTATAGGGACAGGTAAGCTTTGTTATTTCTGAAAAGTCTGGCATTTTTCAACAAAAAAAAGACATAATTGTCACAGAGGGAGAGAATCAGGACAGAATGAAGAGGAGGCAAGTGGAAACAAAAGCAAGTTTAGAGTTATATAAGCTGATACCAGACTGTGACGAAGGTAACTTCGTCACTATGGACTGACTGCTTCAGGCCGGGTAATTGTGTGCACCTGGTGTCCTGTGTTGTCTCCTGCCCCCCTCACCTGTGTCTTGTTGTGCTGATTAGTGTGTGTATTTAGGCTATGTTTCCCTGTCTGTTAGGAGGCTGGTAGTGTGGGTGAGATCCTTGAGGCTGGTGGCTGTGTGCACAGGAACAGCAAGATTTAGGCTGTGTCCTGTGCTGACATTTTAATAAATGCCCACGTCGGGTTATATTTTTGGACATTCTGCCTCTGCCTCCTTGCTTGGTCTGGGCCGCTCAACGGTCAGCTTCACACAGACCAAGGAAAGCAAAACAACGAAGATAAAGAACAAACGATCAAGAACAGAACAGAGGACACGAGCAGGGAAACCAGACAGGAAAATAGACAAAGGAATACAGGCCGATATACACACACAAACAAACTAATTCATTTGTATTCATCACACATAATGTTCAACCAATGGTAATCAATGTTTTTCTTTCATTCGGACTAAACCTAGAGTAATATACACATAACTACCAGTCAAATTATACATTTTTCATGTTTCATGTTAACTTAAAAAATCACAACAAAAAATGTACAAAATGTAATACATGTTATGATTGCAGAATTTGATGAGGCAAAGAAACTGTAGATTGTAAGCCTTTGTGTCTGCTAGTCTCATGTTTTACTGTAATTAAATTGAATATAAATGAAATACATGTATTTCCATGAGTAAAAGTGTCTGCAAACTGACCTGAGAGGAGGATCTTGCTGCTGCGTTTCTCTCCATGCTTCTTCTCCGGATGTTTCTCTGAAGTAAACTCTAACTGGCCCTAACCCTAAATATAACCCACTTTCACACCTCTCCCCACTTCCTGCAGACCCTCCTCCGCCAAATTTAAATTTGCAGCAATTGTTCAGCGACCGCTCCTCTTGGATTTGACTTGAAACCTTCCCAGACAACAGGAGGAAGGTGTGAATCCGACCTTTGATGTCCTGTCCTTCTCCTTCTCCTGAGACGACCCCCCCCCCCCCCCCCCTGAGCCACAACACCTCTGCTAACTGAGCCTGATCCAAGACTCTGGTTGGGAGAGTTACTTTAAAATGGGGTTTTAGGTAAGACAACAGAACAATGTGAACTTAGAAAATAAGAGATCAAGATATTTATGATCAAACATTATTTAATTTATAGAAAAACCTGCAAAAAAACCAATGAGGGGCTTGTAGCTGTTTATCTGTCTGAGAATGAGGGAAGTCACCTTAAAATCCACCAGCCAATCACACTGGAGAAAACCCATACTGTTGAGAAACATGTGGGAAACAAATGTCTCTTTGTGGTTCCCTTAAAGCCCCACACCAGTATGGTTCATCTCCCGTGTGAATAGGATGATGTCAAACTGTAAAAATAAGCAGTGCTGATCAAACATTAATCAAGATTCTGTTACTGTTATGTGTATTTCTGCCTAACTTCAAGCAGAATCTTTCGAAGCTCGGATCACACTGTACAAATACTTCTGTAGTCGTGTTGCCTTCAGGGACTTTAGGTATCCAGAGGAATATTGTACTTTTTTAACACAAAACTTGAATTCTCAAATATATATTTATTTTTTCAAAATAAATTGACTGTGAACACAGAAAAGAAATGGCTGTCACGATGAAGTTAAATGATGAACATGAGATGAATCAGATTATATCAGAGTTTCACAAATAAGTGTCTCTCTTCTCAAACCCAACATGTAAAGCAGAAAACAGACATTTAGAAATGTAAATGTGGAGTAGTTGCTCAGAGACGACTCCTCTCAGACTTGTGAAACTTCCAGGAACAAAAGGATGGAGGTGTGAACACACTAGCCTTCATCCCTCCCCCTAAATCCTACCCTTGATACCCCCTCCTCTCCAAAGATGACCCCAGTCTAGTCTACTTCAAGTACTTTAGCTTCAAATGGCCTTTAAAATTCTGCATTCAGAAAGGAGATTATCAAGAATAAATGTAACGATGCAGCACAAGATGTAAATATGTATTCAACGACCCTCCTTCACCGCAATTCAATGGAAGATGCACTTTCATATTTAAAACCTTTAACTAAACACCGTTCTCCAGAAATAGTGACTCAGTGAGTTTCAGTTCTAACCTGGATAACTGCGACTGAATCTCACATTACAAGTATCCTTAGTGTCTCTCTTCTGATACCCAACGTGACTTAATGTTTTAAAGATCACTTAAAAAAAGACAAAAAAGCGAACTCAAACATTTATATTGAACATAAATGTGAAATAAAAAAATTCAGTGAATGTTGAGCAACTAAACATAGCAAGAACCTTTCTTAACTCGATGCTCACTAAAATTGCAACTGCACACATAACGGATGATGGATTAAGAATTATTATACATACAGACTATATTAAGAACTGTATGTAAAAGATCCAGAGATGCTTCTATTTACAGATGTTCCCTTAACGTCTCATTCACAGGCTGCTGGTAGACAGATCATCGTTACTTTCAGCCTCTCAGAAACAGCACAATGTTGCTTTATCCAAATCAAAACACATTTGATCAACCAGAGCACTCACATATAGAGCTAAGTGTGTGAGGACAGCAGGGTTTTGGGAGGTCTGAATGTAGTCCATAAAAAACCTGTTTTTAGAACGTAAAGTCACTGTTGGTCAGCTTTACATTTGGAGAAAAGCAGGAGGAATGCTAGACTCAGAAAAGGATCAGATGGAGGCAGAGTGAGTGCGCTGGTGGACTTTAAGATTACTACCACGAGAAAAGGTTTTCCCACACTCTTCACAGCTGTGTAGTTTCTCTCTTGTGTGAATGCGATAATGGCTCTGAACTCTTCTTCATTTAGTGAAATCTTTCCCACATTGGTCCCCGCTGAAAAGTTTGGGTTCCTTTCTTCTTCTCTGTTTCTAAAAAAGACAGACGGATAAAGAGTCAGTGAGAGGCTGTGATGCAGATGTATCTAAAAATAAGAGTCTGTAAAATAAACCCCACAAAGTTCACAGTAGGAAAATATAATGCGGATGTATTTGTATTAACTATTTCTGAACTTGAGACTGACTTACTCTCTTTTTAGAGTTTTTCAAATCTCACAGCCTTCTTTACTCACACAGAGAATACAATAAATAAACTGGTTACATGATAAAACACTTTAAAATATCCCTCGGTTAAAACAGGTAAAACTTTTTGTTCCCCTTATTTTGTAAACATTAATGGCATTAAAAGTAAATTACAATTGAATGTACTGAATTAATAATAATAATAATAATAATAATACTTTTTTAGTCTCATTCTATTATTTGTTCTTAGTTAATCAAGGCCAAGCTTAAAAATATAATGCAAAGTGATTGGAAGTAATGATAAGGTATTAAATAATATTGTAATGATGAGTAAAAGAGTCTCTTTGTGTCGACAAATTTAATGGGAAAAATAGAAAACAAGGTTTCGATCAGATTTACTGACAAAATAGAGAAAAAAGCATGCGTCACATTTTAGCCTAATTAACAAATCATAATCACTGTGCACAATCACAACAGCAGATGAAACATATCCAGTAAAATAAAATAAAAAGAGGCTCTATCAATCGGAAATGAACATTATTCTATAAAAAATACAGTCAGTGAGCAATGACGTTTGAGTCTACCTCACAGTGATTATAGGGAAGTACAAACATAACACTACAACAGGATATGCATCTCAACAGGACGTGTTTTGACATTTTCAGGTGCGCACTTCTGCAAATGTGAGTATTATTCACAGAATTAACGTGTAGCATATATACAGATATGCTCACAAAACTAATATACCTGAGAAGCACTAAAGCAATCAATATTTTTCCATCACCATCAGAGCGTAAGCTATGCTCTGAGAAAAGGTTAACGGTGTGCAGCGTGTGTGCGTTGGTGGACTTTGAGATTACTACGCCGAGAAAAGTTTTTCCCACAATGTTCACAGCTGTGTGGTTTCAGTCCCGTGTGAACCAGTAGGTGGACGGCAAGGTGATCCTGCCGGGAAAACGTTTTCGCACAGTGGTCACAGCTGTATGGTTTCTCTCCGGTGTGAATACGCCGGTGTGTTTTTAATTGAACCCTCTCTCTAAATGTGGAGCTGCACTGGTCACAGCTGTATGGTTTCTTTCCAGTGTGAATGCTCTTGTGGCTTCTCAAGCCGGAGGTCTGTGAAAAGACTGCTCCACATTCCTCACAGCTGTACGGTTTCTCTCCGGTGTGAATTCGCTGATGCATTTTGAGCTGAGAACTCTGATTGAAAGTCTTCCCACATTGGTCACACCAGAATACTTTCTCTTTAGTGTGAACAACCCGATGAAGTCTTAGATAAGTTGTACTTTTAAAAGTTTTCCCACACTCGTTGCAGATGTGCGGTCTCTCTTCTTGGTGAATTACTTTATGCTTTGAAAGCTCACTGTGAGTGCGGAAGGCTTTGTCACATGTGTCGCAGATTTGCGGTTTCTCTCCTGTATGAAGCAGTTTATGGCTCACCATGGTTCCTGGATGAGAGAACCTTTTCCCACATTGGTCACAGCCATAGGGTTTCTCTCCAGTGTGAACGCGTTGGTGGAGTTTTAGCCGATTCCGGTAGATGAAAGTCGCCCCGCATTGGTCACAGTGGTGAAGACGTTTTCCGGTGTGAATCCTCTGGTGCACCTTTAAATACACAACAGTTGTGAAGGATTTGTCACAGTGCTGACAGCTGTGGTTTTTGGGTCCATCTTTTCTCCTCGGTTTCTATTCAAGACAAACAGAAAGTTGATCAGACAAAAATAAAACATTTCTTGAAAACCTTGAATAATTTTTTAGAGCTTCATTAATTTTTTTATACTGTTTTTCTTGATAATATAGAAAAATGAATCTTTGTTTTTGACATTTTTCTATTTTTCGGGACAAAATATACTTTTTCAAGTTACTGTGGTCCACACATTTGTTGTTGTTGTTTGAATTCCTTTAACTGCAGTTACCCTTGGCTTCTTCTTGAGATTGGACACAGTTATTTTCGGGTTGCTACCATCCTCCTTCCTCGCCTTTTCCTCCCTCCTCTGTTCCTCCGTCCTCACCTCCTTGCTCCTCAGATTTTCCACCAGGCAGAATAACGTCCTCTCACACATATTCTGCAGGTGAGTTATCTGCAGGTATAGGGACAGGTAAGCTTTGTTATTTCTGAAAAGTCTGGCATTTTTCAACAAAAAAAAGACATAATTGTCACAGAGGGAGAGAATCAGGACAGAATGAAGAGGAGGCAAGTGGAAACAAAAGCAAGTTTAGAGTTATATAAAGCTGATACCAGACTGTGACGAAGGTAACTTCGTCACTATGGACTGACTGCTTCAGGCCGGGTAATTGTGTGCACCTGGTGTCCTGTGTTGTCTCCTGCCCCCCTCACCTGTGTCTTGTTGTGCTGATTAGTGTGTGTATTTAGGCTATGTTTCCCTGTCTGTTAGGAGGCTGGTAGTGTGGGTGAGATCCTTGAGGCTGGTGGCTGTGTGCACAGGAACAGCAAGATTTAGGCTGTGTCCTGTGCTGACATTTTAATAAATGCCCACGTCGGGTTATATTTTTGGACATTCTGCCTCTGCCTCCTTGCTTGGTCTGGGCCGCTCAACGGTCAGCTTCACACAGACCAAGGAAAGCAAAACAACGAAGATAAAGAACAAACGATCAAGAACAGAACAGAGGACACGAGCAGGGAAACCAGACAGGAAAATAGACAAAGGAATACAGGCCGATATACACACACAAACAAACTAATTCATTTGTATTCATCACACATAATGTTCAACCAATGGTAATCAATGTTTTTCTTTCATTCGGACTAAACCTAGAGTAATATACACATAACTACCAGTCAAATTATACATTTTTCATGTTTCATGTTAACTTAAAAAATCACAACAAAAAATGTACAAAATGTAATACATGTTATGATTGCAGAATTTGATGAGGCAAAGAAACTGTAGATTGTAAGCCTTTGTGTCTGCTAGTCTCATGTTTTACTGTAATTAAATTGAATATAAATGAAATACATGTATTTCCATGAGTAAAAGTGTCTGCAAACTGACCTGAGAGGAGGATCCTGCTGCTGCGTTTCTCTCCATGCTTCTTCTCCGGATGTTTCTCTGAAGTAAACTCTAACTGGCCCTAACCCTAAATATAACCCACTTTCACACCTCTCCCCACTTCCTGCAGACCCTCCTCCGCCAAATTTAAATTTGCAGCAATTGTTCAGCGACCGCTCCTCTTGGATTTGACTTGAAACCTTCCCAGACAACAGGAGGAAGGTGTGAATCCGACCTTTGATGTCCTGTCCTTCTCCTTCTCCTGAGACGACCCCCCCCCCCCCCCCCCTGAGCCACAACACCTCTGCTAACTGAGCCTGATCCAAGACTCTGGTTGGGAGAGTTACTTTAAAATGGGGTTTTAGGTAAGACAACAGAACAATGTGAACTTAGAAAATAAGAGATCAAGATATTTATGATCAAACATTATTTAATTTATAGAAAAACCTGCAAAAAAAACCAATGAGGGGCTTGTAGCTGTTTATCTGTCTGAGAATGAGGGAAGTCACCTTAAAATCCACCAGCCAATCACACTGGAGAAAACCCATACTGTTGAGAAACATGTGGGAAACAAATGTCTCTTTGTGGTTCCCTTAAAGCCCCACACCAGTATGGTTCATCTCCCGTGTGAATAGGATGATGTCAAACTGTAAAAATAAGCAGTGCTGATCAAACATTAATCAAGATTCTGTTACTGTTATGTGTATTTCTGCCTAACTTCAAGCAGAATCTTTCGAAGCTCGGATCACACTGTACAAATACTTCTGTAGTCGTGTTGCCTTCAGGGACTTTAGGTATCCAGAGGAATATTGTACTTTTTTAACACAAAACTTGAATTCTCAAATATATATTTATTTTTTCAAAATAAATTGACTGTGAACACAGAAAAGAAATGGCTGTCACGATGAAGTTAAATGATGAACATGAGATGAATCAGATTATATCAGAGTTTCACAAATAAGTGTCTCTCTTCTCAAACCCAACATGTAAAGCAGAAAACAGACATTTAGAAATGTAAATGTGGAGTAGTTGCTCAGAGACGACTCCTCTCAGACTTGTGAAACTTCCAGGAACAAAAGGATGGAGGTGTGAACACACTAGCCTTCATCCCTCCCCCTAAATCCTACCCTTGATACCCCCTCCTCTCCAAAGATGACCCCAGTCTAGTCTACTTCAAGTACTTTAGCTTCAAATGGCCTTTAAAATTCTGCATTCAGAAAGGAGATTATCAAGAATAAATGTAACGATGCAGCACAAGATGTAAATATGTATTCAACGACCCTCCTTCACCGCAATTCAATGGAAGATGCACTTTCATATTTAAAACCTTTAACTAAACACCGTTCTCCAGAAATAGTGACTCAGTGAGTTTCAGTTCTAACCTGGATAACTGCGACTGAATCTCACATTACAAGTATCCTTAGTGTCTCTCTTCTCATACCCAATGTGTCTTAGTGTTTTAAAGATCACTTCAAAAAGGACAAAAAAGCAAACTCAAACATTTCAATTGAACATAAATGTGAAATAAAAATGTTCAGTGAATGTTGGGCAACAAAAAATAGCAAGAACCTTTCTGAACTCGATGCTCACTAAAATTGCAATAAAGGATAATGGATTAAGAAGTATTATACATAAAGACTATATTAAGAAATGTATGTAAAAGATCCAGAGATGCTTCTATTTACAGATGTTCCCTTAACGTCTCATTCACAGGCTGCTGGTAGACAGATCATCGTTACTTTCAGCCTCTCAGAAACAGCACAATGTTGCTTTATCCAAATCAAAACACATTTGATCAACCAGAGCACTCACATATAGAGCTAAGTGTGTGAGGACAGCAGGGTTTTGGGAGGTCTGAATGTAGTCCATAAAAAACCTGTTTTTAGAACGTAAAGTCACTGTTGGTCAGCTTTACATTTGGAGAAAAGCAGGAGGAATGCTAGACTCAGAAAAGGATCAGATGGAGGCAGAGTGAGTGCGCTGGTGGACTTTAAGATTACTACCACGAGAAAAGGTTTTCCCACACTCTTCACAGCTGTGTAGTTTCTCTCTTGTGTGAATGCGATAATGGCTCTGAACTCTTCTTGATTTAGTGAAATCTTTCCCACATTGGTCCCCGCTGAAAAGTTTGGGTTCCTTTCTTCTTCTCTGTTTCTAAAAAAGACAGACGGATAAAGAGTCAGTGAGAGGCTGTGATGCAGATGTATCTAAAAATAAGAGTCTGTAAAATAAACCCCACAAAGTTCACACAGTAGGAAAATATAATGCGGATGTATTTGTATTAACTATTTCTGAAAATGAGACTCACTTACTCTCTTGTTAGAGTTTTTCAAATCTCACAGCCTTCTTTACTCACACAGAGAATACAATAAATAAACTGGTTACATGATAAAACACTTTAAAATATCCCTCGGTTAAAACAGGTGAAACTTTTTTTTCCCCTTATTTTGTAAACATTAATGGCATTAAAAGTAAATTACAATTGAATGTACTGAATTAATAATAATAATAATAATAATAATACTTTTTTAGTCTCATTCTATTATTTGTTCTTAGTTAATCAAGGCCAAGCTTAAAAATATAATGCAAAGTGATTGGAAGTAATGATAAGGTATTAAATAATATTGTAATGATGAGTAAAAGAGTCTCTTTGTGTCGACAAATTTAATGGGAAAAATAGAAAACAAGGTTTCGATCAGATTTACTGACAAAATAGAGAAAAAAGCATGCGTCACATTTTAGCCTAATTAACAAATCATAATCACTGTGCACAATCACAACAGCAGATGAAACATATCCAGTAAAATAAAATAAAAAGAGGCTCTATCAATCGGAAATGAACATCATTCTATAAAAAATACAGTCAGTGAGCAATGACGTTTGAGTCTACCTCACAGTGATTATAGGGAAGTACAAACATAACACTACAACAGGATATGCATCTCAACAGGACGTGTTTTGACATTTTCAGGTGCGCACTTCTGCAAATGTGAGTATTATTAACAGAATTAACGTGTAGCATATATACAGATATGCTCACAAAACTAATATACCTGAGAAGCACTAAAGCAATCAATATTTTTCCATCACCATCAGAGCGTAAGCTATGCTCTGAGAAAAGGTTAACGGTGTGCAGCGTGTGTGCGTTGGTGGACTTTGAGATTACTACGCCGAGAAAAGTTTTTCCCACAATGTTCACAGCTGTGTGGTTTCAGTCCCGTGTGAACCAGTAGGTGGACGGCAAGGTGATCCTGCCGGGAAAACGTTTTCGCACAGTGGTCACAGCTGTATGGTTTCTCTCCGGTGTGAATACGCCGGTGTGTTTTTAATTGAACCCTCTCTCTAAATGTGGAGCTGCACTGGTCACAGCTGTATGGTTTCTTTCCAGTGTGAATGCTCTTGTGGCTTCTCAAGCCGGAGGTCTGTGAAAAGACTGCTCCACATTCCTCACAGCTGTACGGTTTCTCTCCGGTGTGAATTCGCTGATGCATTTTGAGCTGAGAACTCTGATTGAAAGTCTTCCCACATTGGTCACACCAGAATACTTTCTCTTTAGTGTGAACAACCCGATGAAGTCTTAGATAAGTTGTACTTTTAAAAGTTTTCCCACACTCGTTGCAGATGTGCGGTCTCTCTTCTTGGTGAATTACTTTATGCTTTGAAAGCTCACTGTGAGTGCGGAAGGCTTTGTCACATGTGTCGCAGATTTGCGGTTTCTCTCCTGTATGAAGCAGTTTATGGATCACCATGGCTCCTGGAAGAGAGAACCTTTTCCCACATTGGTCACAGCCGTAGGGTTTCTCTCCAGTGTGAACGCGTTGGTGGAGTTTTAGCCGATTCCGGTAGAGGAAAGTCGCCCCGCATTGGTCACAGTGGTGAAGACGTTTTCCGGTGTGAATCCTCTGGTGCACCTTTAAATACACAACAGTTGTGAAGGATTTGTCACAGTGCTGACAGCTGTGGTTTTTGGGTCCATGTTTTCTCCTCGGTTTCTATTCAAGACAAACAGAAAGTTGATCAGACAAAAATAAAACATTTCTTGAAAACCTTGAATAATTTTTAGAGCTTCATTAATTTTTTTTATACTGTTTTTCTTGATAATATAGAAAAATGAATCTTTGTTTTTGACATTTTTCTATTTTTCGGGACAAAATATACTTTTTCAAGTTACTGTGGTCCACACATTTTTTATTTTTGTTTGAATTCCTTTAACTGCAGTTACCCGTGGCTTCTTCTTGAGATTGGACACAGTTATTTTCGGGTTGCTACCATCCTCCTTCCTCGGCTCTTCTTCCCTCCTCTGTTCCTCCGTCCTCACCTCCTTGCTCCTCAGATTTTCCTCCAGGCAGAATAACGTCCTCTCACACATATTCTGCAGGTGAGTTATCTGCAGGTATAGGGACAGGTAAGCTTTGTTATTTTTGAAAAGTCTGGCATTTTTCAACAAAAAAAAGACATAATTGTCACAGAGGGAGAGAATCAGGACAGAATGAAGAGGAGGCAAGTGGAAACAAAAGCAAGTTTAGAGTTATATAAAGCTGATACCAGACTGTGACGAAGGTAACTTCGTCACTATGGACTGACTGCTTCAGGCCGGGTAATTGTGTGCACCTGGTGTCCTGTGTTGTCTCCTGCCCCCCCTCACCTGTGTCTTGTTGTGCTGATTAGTGTGTGTATTTAGGCTATGTTTCCCTGTCTGTTAGGAGGCTGGTAGTGTGGGTGAGATCCTTGAGGCTGGTGGCTGTGTGCACAGGAACAGCAAGATTGAGGCTGTGTCCTGTGCTGACATTTTAATAAATGCCCACGTCGGGTTATATTTTTGGACATTCTGCCTCTGCCTCCTTGCTTGGTCTGGGCCGCTCAACGGTCAGCTTCACACAGACCAAGGAAAGCAAAACAACGAAGATAAAGAACAAACGATCAAGAACAGAACAGAGGACACGAGCAGGGAAACCAGACAGGAAAATAGACAAAGGAATACAGGCCGATATACACACACAAACAAACTAATTCATTTGTATTCATTACACATAATGTTCAACCAATGGTAATCAATGTTTTTCTTTCATTCTGACTAAACCTAGAGTAATATACACATAACTACCAGTCAAATGATACATTTTTCATGTTTCATGTTAACTTAAAAAATCACAACAAAAAATGTACAAAATGTAATACATGTTATGATTGCAGAATTTGATGAGGCAAAGAAACTGTAGATTGTAAGCCTTTGTGTCTGCTAGTCTCATGTTTTACTGTAATTAAATTGAATATAAATGAAATACATGTATTTCCATGAGTAAAAGTGTCTGCAAACTGACCTGAGAGGAGGATCCTGCTGCTGCGTTTCTCTCCATGCTTCTTCTCCGGATGTTTCTCTGAAGTAAACTCTAACTGGCCCTAACCCTAAATATAACCCACTTTCACACCTCTCCCCACTTCCTGCAGACCCTCCTCCGCCAAATTTAAATTTGCAGCAAATGTTCAGCGACCACTCCTCTTGGATTTGACTTGAAACCTTCCCAGACAACAGGAGGAAGGTGTGAATCCGACCTTTGATGTCCTGTCCTTCTCCTTCTCCTGAGACGACCCCCCCCCCCTGAGCCACAACACCTCTGCTAACTGAGCCTGATCCAAGACTCTGGTTGGGAGAGTTACTTTAAAATGGGGTTTTAGGTAAGACAACAGAACAATGTGAACTTAGAAAATAAGAGATCAAGATATTTATGATCAAACATTATTTAATTTATAGAAAAACCTGCAAAAAAACCAATGAGGGGCTTGTAGCTGTTTATCTGTCTGAGAATGAGGGAAGTCACCTTAAAATCCACCAGCCAATCACACTGGAGAAAACCCATACTGTTGAGAAACATGTGGGAAACAAATGTCTCTTTGTGGTTCCCTTAAAGCCCCACACCAGTATGGTTCATCTCCCGTGTGAATAGGATGATGTCAAACTGTAAAAATAAGCAGTGCTGATCAAACATTAATCAAGATTCTGTTACTGTTATGTGTATTTCTGCCTAACTTCAAGCAGAATCTTCCGAAGCTCGGATCACACTGTACAAATACTTCTGTAGTCATGTTGCCTTCAGGGACTTTAGGTATCCAGAGGAATATTGCACTTGTTTAACACAAAACTTGAATTCTCAAATATATATTTATTTTTTCAAAATAAATTTACTGTGAACACAGAAAAGAAATGGCTGTCACGATGAAGTTAAATGATGAACATGAGATGAATCAGATTATATCAGAGTTTCACAAAAAAGGGTGTCTCTTCTCAAACCCAACATGTAAAGCAGAAAACAGACATTTAGAAATGTAAATGTGGAGTAGTTGCTCAGAGACGACTCCTCTCAGACTTGTGAAACTTCCAGGAACAAAAGGATGGAGGTGTGAACACACTAGCCTTCATCCCTCCCCTACATCCTGCCCTTGATATCCCCTCCTCTCTAAAGAAGAATAAAAGTAACGATGCAGCACAAGATGTAAATATTTATTTAACGACCCTCCTTCACCGCAATTCAATGTTCACTGTTTTCAGAAGGAAAACGAGGACGGAACTGCAGTAGTTTCTACAAGGACCACTATTGCGGTAAGCATGTTTTAACTTCCGGTTGTTCTTGTCACCTCCGGGTATCCTGTTCTGCTGCTGATAGCTTATTATCTTAACTTAATCGATCGTTTTAATTAGTGATGGCGAGATGAAGTCTTATGAAGCTTTGAAGCTTTCCAGCCAATTGGTTCGCATTTGAACACAAACCCCCTGTTGGTCAAAGTGTGTAAAACAGGCAGATTGGACATCTCAACCGTGTGCTCTATCTCATACCGAGTTCCCATTGAGTAAAGCCTTAGAATAACTCTAAACAACGAACATTAAATCATATTTTCATGTTAACAATATTGTATTTATTCCAGTTTAATGATTGTGATTGAAAAGCCTAAGGAGGCTGGTAAACATTGCAAAGAGGGATTAGTATTCCTTAATAATATTCGTAAACTTAAACATGTTGTAGCCGGAGAAAGGCTAAACCATATCAAATAATACATCTGTTAACTACATTATCTCATTTAGCTTTTATAAACAAAAAATACGTAATGTTCAGTCGTTGAACCAGGGACCCTGCGGCATGAGTAAACTGCTTTCAAGCTGAGCCACAGCACACACACTAAAGCTCCCTGAAAACACTGCAACATATGTATTCCTGTATTTATTGATGGCCAGAGCGGGCGACGTTGAGGCGCATCTTAAACTGCTGGCTACAAATAAACGTAAATACAGTAGGATTGTTATTCACGTCGGTGGTAATGATGTTCGTATACGCCGATCAGAATGCACCAAACTTAATGTGGAGTCGGTGTGTAGTTATGCTAAAACAATGTCGGACACCGTAATCTTCTCTGGTCCCCTCCCCAATCTGATCAATGATGACATGTATAGCCGCATGTCATCATTTCAGCGCTGGTTGTCTTGGTGGTGCCCAGCAAACAATGTGGGCTTCGTAAATAATTGGACAGCCTTCTGGGGAAAACCTGGTCTGATTAAGAGAGACGGCATTCATCCTACTTTGGAAGGTGCCGATCTCATTTCGGCAAACATTTCAGGGCTTTGTGGACTTAATCCATGACAAACTGGAGTTGAGACCAGGAGGCGGAGTCGCAGTCTTACACGCTTCTCTGCGCTCTCTCCTAGGCAGTCATCCATAGAAATCCCGAACCCAATAAAATACCCAATATTAGCGGTGTGTGTGTCTGCCCAAGGACAAGTTAAGGTAAAACCTAATAGAGGTGTCATACATAATAACCTAATAAAAGTAAATGTAACAACTACTACAGTGCAACAAAACAGGAAGATTAAATGTAGTCTCTTAAACATAATGTGAAGCTGACCGTTGAGCGGCCCAGACCAAGCAAGGAGGCAGAGGCAGAACGTCCAAAAATATAACCCGGTGTGGGCATTTATTAAAACTTGAGCACAGGACACAGCCTCAATCTTGCTGTTCCTGTGCACACAGCCACCAGCCTCAATCCTGCTGCTGCTGTTCACGTGAGCCCAGCCTGCAGCCACCAGGATCTCACACACACACACACTCCCTGCCAGCCCCTCAACAGACAGGGAAACAGAGCCTAATACCCACACTCTAATCAGCACAACAAGACACAGGTGAGGGGGGAGGAGACAACACAGGACACCAGGTGCACACAATCAACGGCAACAGACATGGGGAAAGGGGAACACATTTCAAAAATAAAATACAATAAACACTACATCAATAAATAGTATAAATTGTATAAAAATGCCCGAAGCCGTCAGTTCACAGTGACGAAGTTACCTTCGTCACACATAAGATCTCTAGCATCTAAAGCAATATTGGTAAATGATTTAATATCAGATTATAATATTGATATATGCTGTCTCACTGAAACTTGGTTGAGACATGAAGAATATGTCAGCATAAATGAGGCCACTCCACCCAGCCATATCAATACTCATATTGCCCGAGGCACGGGCCGAGGAGGTGGAGTTGCATCTTTGACTCAAGTTTACTTATCAATACTAAACCAAAATTAAATTATACCTCCTTTGAAAGTCTCGTTTTTAGTCTTACGCATCCGACCTGGAAAACTTTGCAGCCAATCTTATTTGTTACAGTGTACCGTGCACCAGGTCCTTATTCAGAATTCTTATCTGAATCCTCTGAGTTTTTATCAACTTTGGTTCTTAAAACAGATAAAGTAATTATCGTAGGTGACTTTAATATTCATGTTGACGATGATAAAAATAGCCTTACTGTTGCATTTAACTCTATATTAGATTCTGTTGGTTTCCGTCAGAGTGTAAATAAACCAACCCACTGCTATAATCACACTCTCGACCTTGTTCTGACTTATGGTATTGAAATTGAGCAACTATTAGTCGAACCGCATAATCCTGCTTTATCCGACCATTTCTTAGTAACTTTTGAAGTACTGTTACTAGACTACAAAGCATTAGTCAAAAGCTCCTGCAGCAGAAACCTATCTGTTAGTGCTATGGCCAAATTTAAGGAAGAGATTCCACCAATACTTAACTCGATAGCATGTCTGCATGTAAGGGAGGAAACTTATACAAAATGTACACCACCCCAAATTGATCATGTTGTTGATCGTGCTACAGATGCGCTGCGAATAAAATTAGACTCTGTTGCTCCTTTGAAAAAGAAGAAAATAAAACAACATAGATTAGCTCCATGGCATAATGCCGAAACCCGCAAAATAAAGCAAAAGTCGAGACAACTTGAAAGGATATGGCGTTCCACTAAACTTGAAGAATCTCGTTTAATTTGGCATATTACTCTCAATGAATATAAGAAAGCACTGCGTAAAGCGAGAGCAGCCTACTACTCTTCATTAATAGATGAGAATAAGAATAATGCAAGATTTCTTTTCAGCACTGTAGCCAGGCTGACAGAGAGCCACAGCTCGATTGAGCCTTCTATTCCCATAGCACTCAGTAGTAATGATTTTATGTGCTTTTTTAACGATAAAATTGTTACTCTTAGAAACAAAATGAATGACCTCTTGCCTTTGACCAGTATAGTGTTATCAATGGCTCCCGGAAGCGTGAGTTCTAATATTACACTAGATATTAAACTAGAATGCTTTTCAGCCATAAACCTTGAACAATTAAATTCAATGATTCTCTCTTCTAAACCATCAACGTGTATCTTAGACCCAATTCCAACTAAGCTGTTGAAGGAAGTTTTTCCATTAATTAGCACTTCTTTATTAAATATTATGAATATGTCTTTATTATCAGGCTATGTTCCACAATCATTCAAAGTAGCAGTGATAAAACCGCTTCTTAAAAAGCACAACCTCGATCCAGAGGTTTTAGCCAATTATAGACCTATTTCTAATCTTCCGTTCCTCTCAAAAATTCTTGAGAAAGCGGTCGCAAAACAGTTGTGTGATTACTTAAAAAACAATGATTTATTTGAAGATTTCCAGTCTGGCTTTAGAACACATCATAGCACAGAGACAGCTCTGGTTAAAGTCACAAATGACATTCTAATAGCCTCTGACAAGGGACGTGTCTCTATTCTTGTTTTGATACTAGAGCACTTAGTTGGCATACATGGAACTGCTTTAGACTGGTTTAGGTCCTATCTATCTGAACGCTCTCAGTTTGTACGTGTCAACGATGAATCTTCCACGCAAACCAAAGTTAGCCATGGAGTGCCACAGGGCTCAGTGCTCGGACCTATTTTGTTCACATTATATATGCTTCCGCTAGGCAATATTATAAGGAATCATTCTGTACATTTTCATTGTTATGCGGATGATACTCAACTATATTTATCAATCAAGCCTGATGAAATGAATTATCTAAATAAAATTCAAGACTGCCTCAAGGACTTAAAAACGTGGATGACCTTAAACTTTTTTTTTTTTTTGAACTGTTTATTTTCCTCTT